GCGGACATGAACAATCTCCATCATGATGGCAGCCATCTCGTCCACCGTTCGGCCGTAGAAGTTAGCGGCGATGACTTTGGCCTCGTCCTGCTTGGGATTGTACCCGTCCTGTCTCGTTCGCCCGTTGTGCCACGGAAACTCATTTACGAGCTCTACGAGGTTAATCCAGCCATCATGATCGTCGAATGTAGTCAGGCCCCACACAGGATTGTGTGGCCTGTCGGGCGCGTGTCTGCATATCCGACTGAGACATTTACTCAGTTGCTTGAGGGTATGATTCTTCTTCGGGATAATGTTTTCTTGCCTGCATCGTTCCATGAATGCCTCATCCACCGAGCGCATCGGTGGAAGCTTCCGCAGGGCAAGTCTGTCATTGATCACGGCCTGACTCCCACTAGTGAAGGACGCATCCCCTGGGTGGTGCAACTGGTCCTCGGGCCGGTTTCCCGGCACAGGAGCCTCTGTCGCCGAAGAGACTGCGGCTCCTGAAGAGGAAGAAGCTGCAGCTGCAGCGCCTGGCGGGTTTCCCCGCGGTGACTCTCGGCTGGCACTGCCCCTAATCTTAGGCACCCAGGTACCCCTAGACAGAGCACCTTCCTCAGACCTCTTGGAGCGAGCCGCCGCAGGTGCGGCCGGCGTAGGGGTAAACCCCGTACGCTCGAAGGCTTTGGCCTTGCCGGCGATGGATCCGCTCCGGCTAGGTGGGCGTCTCCGTATCTCCACAGGGTCCTGAGGTGGCTGCTTGGGGTCGGATCCTTGTGCTGGAGTTGCTCTAGTCGGTGATCTCGGCGTTCTAGAACGAGGCACCTCCATCTGCACGTCTGACCCAAGATCCTCAGAGCGAGCTGTTGTGTTCGGTCTCTCCTCCGACGGCGACTTCGGCGCTGGAGTTTCGCCCTTAGCCTTCGGTTGGAGTGGGAGTGGGGGCTTCTTCGCCCCCTTCATATAGATCTTTTGGGAGTCCATCAGCATCTGGCGAGTTGCCTCGCGGGCGCGTTCCTCTGCTATTCGTCTGCGTTCCTCATCTGCTGCAGCTCGCTGGGCCCTCTGTTCATCGTCATCCATCATTTCTGGCCGCTGGGACTGACTGGAAACGCCTGGCGAGTTTCCTCGCATTCCAGGAAGGCTAAAGAGCGCATCAGTTTCTTCCTGGGTCATAGGCACCAGTCCTCTCGGAGCCGGAGGAGGCTGAACTTCCTCGGCCTTAGGCCTCATATGAACTGCGATTCCGAGACGACGGTTGATCTCTGCGATCTCGTCTTGAGTCATCGGAATCAGCGGTGGATGACCCTCCTTGGCAGGAGTGCGGCCTCGATTCGGGCTCAAACTCTCGTTGAGGGCATCCAGGCCTACGCTCCTGAAATGGCTCTGAGCACGGTCCACAAACTGCATTAGGTCTGCACAGTTTGCGCGCTGCAATGATATTTCGCAGCTGCGCCCGTACTTCTTGTATTTCAGGACGACGAATATTCGTCGCGAGCTTGTATCCACCTCGTATGGACTTGCCTTCGGCATCTCGGTAGGCTGGGTTGCCCTTTCCGAAGGCCGAATGCTCACCCTTCTGACGCCTAGGGTCATTGTAGGGAAGCAATTGACCCCCCCGCCTAGCAGCATGCTCCTTTGGGCCTGCTTGCCTCCATTCGCGAGGGAGCCGTGCTTGCGGACGAGGTTCTTCCCTGAGGCGTGGGTGAGAGCGAGACCTCCTGGTTTGCTGATCAGATGAAGCTGCCGACGTAGCCTGAGCGGGAGCCAGCGGGGGCCCCTGCGAGATCCCAGGCGGATCATCTAGAATGGGCAGGTCTCCCTGCTGACTGGAGCCCGGCGCAACTGGCTCTTGCGCCGGTGGTGGTGCGTCGGGCATGTCGGGACTAAAGTCCACTTCTTCTTCACCGTTGACCTCCATCATGAGTATTGTGGTCTCGTCCTCGCACAGCCCACATCCATCACCCTCTTCATCTTCTGATGTAGGATTGCCAAAGACGACGGTCATCGGTCCAGCCGGGACGGGCAGGTTTCCCTGCGTAGCCGGCGTCTGAGCATCGCTTGGCTGTCCTGGCGTAGGCGGCACGGTTGTCGGCTCAGGCTCGTTGCCGGGCACAGGCTGCCCGGCAATATTACGCATGGCCGTATGGTTGGGTCACAATCCCGCCGCCTGGAGACCCCATCCTGGCGAAGGAAGAGCCTGGCCGCGCATGGCGATGGCCCTTCCAAGGGCCTGGCGCCATCTCCCTCTGGAGTACCACACATGCCGCTGCACGTCCTCAGGGTGCACGCTATCGATGAGAGTCAGGGCCGCCAGCACTAGGTCCGAGTCGTCACAGGCATCAGCGTCCTGTAGCATCATTTGGCCAGCTTCGATGCTCTCGTGACTCTGGGGATATGCTATGACCAATACCTCGTGCATCCTCATGAGGGTCTGCAGTAGTGTGCGTGGTCCGTACTCGCCCGGGGCAAGCGAGCCAGGGGGTATAAATGGGCCCCCTGGCCCGCCCGCTACGAACGCTTGAGACTCCATTTCTATCAGATCAGCGTAATTTAGAGGATATGTAGGGGTAGGCCTGTTTCCAGGCATGAGGTCGGGTTGAGGTCATCTTCTGCACTGCTCTCGTAGGCCATGATGTTGCCTGGATTACCGAACATCCAGTCAAAGAAGGATAAAGGCTGGTTTCCCAGCGCCCCATGGTCCACAGGCGCCAGCTCGAAGTTGCCGACGACAAACCTGCGGAGGTACTCGAGGTAGTACGCGTACAGTCCATGGCCGCACGCCTCGATCTCATCCAAATTGTCCATGCTGCTGACCCAAGTGAAAAATCTCTGCTCCATGGCCTCAAATTCTTGGAGGCTCAGATATTCAATAACTGGTTCACTTGAGCCGAAATGGACTTAGGTTGATCTGCCCTTTCCATTTCCCTTCGCTGGACGATCTTTCACAAGATGATCGGCACTATCACACTCATGGCACTTTAGGATCTGGCCGTCTCTACCTCGCGGGTTTCCCCGCCTACCTTTGCCTTTGCCTGGGTATCTCTACTGCCTTTGCCACGGCCTTTTCCCCCGAAAAATATCATCATACTGGTCATCTGAGAGCCTCTGGAGGAAGGCCGTGATGCCTCGTCCATTCAACCTACGACGACCCCGTTTGCCTTTACCTGTTCCTTTGAAGCTCCTCCGCATCCTCCTCCCAACACGACGCACTGGTTTTCGTGTGAACCTCCTCCACCTCCGCTTTGCCTGTTGTAATAACCAAAGCAGGTGTTCGACACGCTGATTGTCACTTTCCATGTTCATGATATCTGACCAATCTAAAGGTTCAACACCGTCTGATGATATAGTATCGGTGTCGGTGCCGGAGTCGAAATCGTCGTCTCCCAGGTAGGTGGATACACCGTTGCTTCACCCCATAAGGAGCGGTGTCTTTGAGGTTCTCTAGGAGGAGGGCTGGTTGCCCAGCTTGGTTGTGATCGATCCCCTGCTAGTAGGGCAGTAGACTCTCCAGGATCGTCGGCCCATATGCTTGAGGGCCCGTTTCCAGGCTGGGCTTCAGTGGTTAAGGTAGTGTAGAAATTCCCACTACCAGATCCCCTTCCCATTCCAAACACTGATCCTATGTTACCAGGAGATCGTTCTGACAGATGGCCTATCGAACGCATCCTTTCCAGCAACTCATCATACTGTTGTTGTGTTCGGGGCATTTGGTGGTTGAGTGGCTGTAAGAGTTGCATGGCTCGCTGGTTGCCAACGCCAAGGGCGCGAAATAGGATAGTAGTTAGCAGTTGGAAGTTGGGAAGGTCAAATCCCACCGACTGTGCCTCAAGTCGGGCCATCTCGAATCGGGTGAGGGTGACATCGATTCGTTCTCCGTGAGGCACATGAAAGTCGATGAGCTGTGTGCCTGAAGTGAGCTGGCGCTCATCTTCCAGGCGCTCGAACTTCATGCCTAGGAGGAACATGATGTAGGTTACTGGGTCGGTGTGGACACCATCGATGTCCGCACCGTAGTTTATAATGTCAGGTGGTACCCTCATGGCGAGTGTCCTCGCTAGGCCGCCCAAGCCGCGTTGTATGGCGGCTGCTTGGGCCTGTGGCGTCATACGTCCACTTGTGACGTTGAGCCACGCGTTGACCTCATAAACGTACTCGCGAAAAGGTGCGTTGCCTTGAGGGTCCCAATATGGGCCATGTGTTTGCCCATCGGTGTTGTTATCTCCACGGCGCATGCGTCCGATTGCTGCCCCCAGCGCGAACCATATGATGGCGAAGATAACCAGCCCAAGGCCGTGAATATAGGGGTGGTTATTAGGCGTTTTGCTGCGCTGGGGTAGCGCCTTGTCAAGTCTTCGAGGCGCTTTATCTTGCGGGTCTCCCCGACTATGCTTCAAGTACTGCGCTTTTGGCTCGTTGCCGAGCGGTTGGTACTAGCGCAGTGATGAAGCGTATATGGTACCAATGTTGTTGTCTAGACGCCGTACCTCTCGTGTTGCTTCTTGCTCTTGAATTGATCCTCGTAAATGTACTGGGAGTGGTGGCGCAGGGTGGTAGTTGGTCACGAAGATCGTGCCGTATAGCGTGAGGATAAGAAGAGCAAGAGCTGACCACACGAAAGTGCGGCCAGTTCAGCTACCAAGTCTGAAGTGACTATGGTAAGTCAAATAGCATCCGATTCCATGGGAAGCGGATGGCAAATAGCGTCCGGTATCGTACTGAGGTTGTTCAGTAAGAGGAATGGACGGATAAGATAGGATAAGATCGATGTAATGATCTTTCCAGCACAAGCAGTGTCCGGGCAAATAGGGCGCGCGTGCCTTGAGCCAAAGGCAACGGCGCGCGAGCTATACTCCCGATTCTATATAACATATCCCAAAGAGCTACCCTTAAAGTCTCGGGACCTATCCTGGGGTGCGTTCTGGCTAGAATTTCGACGAGAATCCAGCCATGGTGACGAAGGATCTCCAGGACGAGCAGCGGTATCGGTACCTTTCCCTCCTCTGGCGAGCGGTGTCCTTTCTCGCCAGCATGCCCTGCACCATGTAGCCCACCCTCGCGCGCAGGGTGGCCGCCGTCACGGCTCGCTCCGACTCGCTGGCCTCGCTGGATCGCAGGAGGGCAGCGCGCCCCGGGGCACAGAGGCCGAGGGCAAGGGCGAGTCCCAACGTGTGCACCATCGCTGCCGTGCGCATACGTTGTAGAACGACGACAGCCAGAACAGACGGACACCTGCGAGGGCCGGGCCGAACCTCGGCACCAGATCGGTGCACACGCATCCCTGGCCCAGCCAGGAAGCGTGCACGCCGATCGCGGGCCCGGGTGAGCCTGGCATGGGCCGCTGCCGGTGTATGGCTGTCGCTGTCGTCGTCCGATGGCCGGTTTGGTCTGCTTCGTTGGTCTGAACTGGGGCAAGTGCTCGTCCAGCGCCGCGGTCGTACCGGGGCGCTCTGCTTGAGCCACCGACGCGCAAGAAGGAGGCGCCGTCGGAAGCGCGAGACGCAGGCCAGATCAGCGAGGGCGAGGGAGGTGAGGAAGCTGCGTTTGCTGGGGACGGGTTATGACCCTCCGCGGGGTTCCTGCCCCCACCCCCCAATTGCGCAGAAGCAGAGGGGACGCACGAACGCCCAGATGGAAAAGACACGGCTACCTGAGAGAAAAGTGACCGAACAAGAACGGGAGGCGCCGCTGCTGTCCAATCTGCTTGCAAAAACGGAGAGAGGACCACAACGAGGCGGAGGAGGAGGACAGAACAAAGGACGAGGGGAGCGCGACGAGGGAGAGGACTACGTACGAGGAGGAAGACAAGCACAAGGACGAGGAAGAGGGCGAGGAGAACGAGCACGATAAGGAGGAGGAGGAGGAGGACACGATCAACGAGGACGGCTAGACAGACGGCAGCGCGAAGACGAGGAGGACAGCGTGGATGAGGAGGGGCAGAGCGGGGAGAACGAAGAGCACGACGGGACCACAAAGAGGTAGCGCAAAGGGGGTGTTGCCTTCTGAGAAAGCGGAAGGGCCTCTGGGAAAGCAGTGGGGGGCCTTCTGAGAAGGCCCCGGAGGCCTCTACGAAAAACTTACGGATCGTATCAGAAGCCGGGGGGGGGCATCCTCCTCCTTCTCTTCCTCCTCCTCCTTCTCCTCCTCCTCCTCCTCCTCCTCCTCCTTCTCAGAAGCCCCCCTGCCTAAGAGCCCCACCGCCATCTCAGAAGCCCGCCCCCCCCACGCCAGCCCGCTGAGGGCACCAACCATCACGTCGGCGCGACGCGAGCCTGCCACGTGCGCGCCGCAATCGTCTACGCCGGCGACTGCCTCGACGCGACCCGGGCCGGCGCGCTGGAGACGCCCAGCTCGGGGGTCGCTGAAGGTGCCCCATGGCCCAAGGTGCCCCCAGCTTTTCGCTCTACTGTGGAGCCCCTGGGGCCCCCCTGGGCCTCGCAAGGGGCTCTCTGGAAGCCCCGGGGGGGCTTCAAAGGAAATTCAGGGGGCACCATGGGCCAGGGGCACTTCTAGCAGCACCCGAGATGCAGGCGGAGGCGCGCTCGTCGAAGACCCACGCGCCGCCTGTGGAGAGCCGAGGGCCCACAGAGACAGAGACCCCCCGGACGTCCGCGGGCGCCGGGCGCTGCCCAGAGGGACCCGGGGGCTCCAGCGTTGAGCGAAAAGCTGGGGGCACCTTGGGTCAGGAGCACGTCCAGCAACGCCCGACCGTAGACGAAAGAACAACGGCATAGACATAAACTTTGGCGCTCCGCGCGGAGCGCCAGAAGTCATGTTTATGCAGCTCTTCTCCTTCGAGACCAGCCCTGCCCCCCCGGCGCCACAGACGCCTCGTCGGCCAGCGTCCGCAGGGCGACCACGTCCACGTCGTGAGGCGGGGCAGCCGCGGGAGCGGGAGGAGCCGCGCCCCCAGCGCGCCGACGGGCGGCGCCCGGCGCGCGGCCCATCGAGCTCTCATCCACAGATCCTCCTCCTGCTCCTTCTCCTCCTTCCTCATCCTTCCTCCTCCTTCCTCCTCCCTCCTTCCTCCTTCCTCCTCCCTCCCCCTTTCTCCTTCCTCCTTCCTCCTTCCTCCTCCCTCCTCCCTCCTCGGTCCTCCTTCCTCCTTCTTCCTTCCTGCTCCCTCCTTCCGCCTTGCCTCACTCAGGCAAGAGGGGGAGCGGGGGCGACAACGAGGGCGCGACGTGCGTGGAGAGCCCCGAGGGGGGGAGCTCGGCGGACGGCGAGAGGAGAGGGGAGGGATGGGAGGAGGGGGGGGAACGAGGAGCTGGGCGGCGAGAGGAAGAGGCGCACAGGAGACGAGCCTGGAGCGGGCCCGTCGCGCTGGGCGTGGTGCAGCGGGGCGAGCCGCGGCGCGCGGCTCAGGCCAACTCGTCGAAGATGCTGCCGAACATGCCGGGGTTCATGATGTCCGGGGGCTGCTAAAGAGGTGCCCCATGGCCCAGGGTGCCCCCAGCTTCTCGCTCCACTTGGGAGCCCCTGGGGCCCTCTGGGCAGCGTGATGGGGTTCTCCGGAGGCCGCGGGGGCCTCCTCGGAGATCCTGGGGGCACCTTGGGCCGGGGGCGCTCCCAGCAGCACCCGAGATGTAGGTGGAGGCGAACTCGTTGTAGACCCACGCGCCGCCTCTGGAGAGCCAGGGGCCCACAGAGGCGGAGACCCCCGGGACGTCCGCGGGCGTCGGGCGCTGCTCCAAGGGAAGGGGGGGAGGTGGCGAGGCATGGGCGGGGCGAGGAAGCATGCGCCCTTCGCACCCCCCCGCGGGCCCCAGGGGCCCCCCCCCCCCGAGGTGCACAAAAAGGTGCACCTTTCGTCGTCGTCGCCGTGGCCGTCGTCGTCGTCGCACTCTCGTTGACAACCCAGGCGCCACCTGGACACGACAGGTCGACGCGGGAAGCCAGTGCTTGGTTCCACAAGTCATCGGTGACGTCCATCGCCTCCGAGTAGCAGGTCCCCGCCCAAAAACCCCCTTCCTCGTACGCGAAGGCCAGGATGCCCGCATCCCTCACCTTCTCCATGCAGGCCTGGACGGAGCGGAACGTGCCCATGACTCTCCACGGGCCGCAGCTGTCGGAGGGGTAGCCATTCTCACGGATCTTGAGGTAGCCCTGCTGCTGCTCCGCCTCCAACTTGGCCGACGGCGAGAACGCACGGGGACAGAACTTCACCAACAACTTCTGGGCGTACTCTGGTTCGTTGTTTTCGAGCGCCGTGAGGCCAGGGATGCGCTCGTAGTTGGTCTCCCACGGATCGCTCGCCCAGCCCCTGAGCACTACCAGATTCTGCGTCGTGCTCTCGGCGATCGGGGCCATGAAGATCTGCACGCCCTTGTCCTTCATCGCCGTTGCCAGCATGGTCGTGCGGTACGCGTCGGTCCACTTGCCGTCAGATATCATCATCACGGCACTCTGTGCGTCCTCCCGGCCGTCCGCGAACATGTTGTCGGCCGCCTGGAGGGCCTGCATCACGTTGGTGAAGCCGCGCTGCCACTGCAGCCCTTCGATAGCTGCACTGACGGAATCGATGTCGCTGGTGATCGGGACTACCTCGAGGGCCGCCGCGACGGTGCCGTTGTCGAAGTATTCGCCGTTCCCAAACAAGACCAACCCGATGCGCATGTCCTCCACACCGTAGTACATGCTCTGGTACCTGCTCGTGAGGTTCATGGCAAAATCCTTGACGATGTCAAAACCCTCCTGCTTCAGGGAGCCGCTGCCGTCGAGCGCAATGACCAGGTCCTGCCTGGCGATACAGATCTCGTCGCCAACGCAGTCCTGGGTGTTGCACTGCTGCATCTCGAAGCGGTCAGGATGCTTCGGCCCTGGGCACCTGCCGTTCGCGCGAATGGGGATGTCCACCTTGCGAACGCGCTCCTGGATGCCGCCGCCGCAGGCCATCGAGCAGGGCTCCCACTCAGTCCACGGCATGAGCGTGCAATCGCGGTCGCACGAACCCGTGTTGCACGGCTGCTCCTCGAGTGTGGTGTCACACTCCGTCCCACCGTTCTTGGGCCTCACGAGAATGGAACGTGTCTTCCCCTGGACGCCTTCCCCGCACTCCTTGGAGCATCCGGACCAGCCAGACCACTGGGACATGGAGCAGTGGACAGGGCAGTGGAACTGGTTGCACTTCATGCCGACACTCCCGTTCGTGCGCTCGAAATACAGCGGGGGGCACGCCATGCCGAAAGAGTTCGGGGAGATGATGACCTGCCTATGGAAAAGGAGCCCAATCTGTTAGCCAGCACAGGCCCCAAACAGCGATCTGTTGCAATATATGCGGTGCGGTCTTGGAGTTGCAATGGATGTCGTGCAATCTAGGTGGTGCAATCTATGCGGCGCCAAGCAATGCAACACAGTGCAAGGCGAAGCAACAAAAGCAATGCAAACCCATGGAATGTAATGCAAAGTGACACAAAGCCATGCGGCGTAACGCAGGTTCAAGCGGCGACGGAGCGGCGACGGCGACCACATAGCCGCCAGACCGACGGGCAGGCCCAGAAGACGGGCCGCGACGAGGCAGCGACGGAGCGGCGACGGCGACCACATAGCCGCCAGGCCGATGGGCAGTCGCAGTTCCTTTTTGTGCTATATATAAAGATATAGATAGACCGGTCATCTATATGTATGCATATGTATGTATAAAGATAGGTATCCACGCTTTCTTATACACACATATGTATATATGTATTTGATATATATATATATATGTAGATGTAAATAAACACACACATATATATATATACTTTCCAGGGTCCGCGACGATGTCTTGGATCGGCGCTGGGCCCCCATCCTGGCACGCGGAGGTCGCCAGGGGCGGCGCCAGAGGCACCGCCAGGGGGCCCAGACCAGATTCTCAAGAAATCCGCGCGGGCCCTCGAGAGTCTGTGCTCACGCGTGGCGTTGGAAAGCTAGGAGTGCCGCATCGATCCCCGAACAGCACGCTGTCCTTATGCTGCTCCCATCGCACTCACGAGCCACATTCCAGAAGTAATTCCAAGCACGCCGACGAGTATCGATACAGTGTCGAGCGAGCATCGCCTCCCGGGGCCCGACACGTGAAAATCCCCCGGTTCCGGTTATGAAGAACATCCTGGAGGCCTCGAGCGGCAACTTGAGACCCGATTTACGTCAGATCCACGTGAGATATACGCCGCGTCCGCGTCGGAGCACGTCGGAATTACGTCGAATTTACGTCGGACTGACGCTGGAGCATCGCCGCGCGAACGTCGACACAGAGCTCACGGAGCTGACGTGTGGACTACACAATACAACTATTGCGCGCCGCGCGAGGCCTCCAGGATTTTTCCTCATACGTCTCGGTACTTCCTTGGTGCTCGAAATTGTTCCTGGTGGTCACGGTCAAGGCTACAGTGGAATGGGACATCCTAACGCTATCACTATGAGGCGACCCCTCTGCGAGGGCCCCTTCTGCGCACGCTAGTTAGTCCCCGTGCCAGGGCATCGTCGGTGCACGCTGTCCTCAAGGTCAGGGACCAGGTGTAGGAAGCAGGCCGACGGCGCCCCGTCGCACGCTATCTTTCCAACGCCAACTGTTCTGCAGTTGCTCTTCCTGGCGGCGAGTGAGGGGGGAAGTGAGACGGAGAAGGCCTTCTCAGACGGCGGCGGGACTTCTCAGAAGCCCTCGCGCCTTCTGAGAAGTGTTTTTGTTGCTGATGTCGGCGAAGGCTTCGAAAACTTCTCGGAAGGCCCAGGGACTTCCGAGCCTTCTGAGAAGGCCCGCCCCTTCTTACTTCCCCCCCTCGCTCGCGGCCGATCTTCCTCGAGCCTGGTAAGATGCTTCAAACCACCACACGTGTCGACGTCGACGCCCCCGACGTCTTTTGGGCAGCTATCGTCGCAGTCCACTGCCAATGAGTTGCCCCTTCCGTCGGCGGTGCAAGGCCCCGCCGACCAGTCCGTCACGTCGCAGTCCCTGATCGACGGCGTGGGCGAGACCGTGCTGTACCGCATCAGTGCGTTGCGCACGGTCCGAGTTCCACAGATGTTCGTGTAGAGGATCTCGCTCATGTGTGTCTTGCAGTCCGCCATCTTGATCTCGAAGGCACGCTCGATGTCCCGGTGCTGCTGCTGCTTCTCGCGCGTTGCTGACGTGATCGAATTGATCTCGGAGATGGCCTCGCCCAGCATCTCCGTGAACTTCATCTTGTTCCCCCTCAGCGTAGCAATCTGCTCGTTCATGTTTTCCTTCTCGCCCTCGTAGGCGTCGCGGTTCTGCTCCATGATGTACGTCAGCTCGTCTACCAGGTCCTTGAACTTGCCCCACTCCAGCGCCATGAGGTCGTGAAGGTAGCCGCAATTGACGATGCCGTTGAGGCACTTCCTCGAGCCGCCCCTTGGTTGCTTGACCTTATGCGGCGGGGGCGCCTGATCGATCTGCAGCAGCGAGGGCGCCTGGGAGTCAGCGGTCTCCAGGACTTCCCGGAGCACCTTCTGCACCCGTGGCGATCGATTCAGCTTCGCCGCCAAGGAGGCGTTGCTCACCTCCACCTGGGTGCCGTTGTCCGTGAGGCAGATCGGAGACTGTGCGAAGGAGTACGTGTCATCTCCATAGGCGTTCGGGCACTTCGACAGCTGCATGAGGGCGGTGAAGACATCCTGGTCGTCCTGGCGCAGCGCTAGCTCATATGCGTTCTTCTCGCGCGTCGACTGGAAGCTCCGCTTCAACGTATCCAGGGAGCCCTCCAAGCCGTTGATCCGAGTCTGCATGTCCGCGGTGCCACCTTCGGCCTCGGCCTTCATGCGCTGTTTGTCGGCGAGGTCTGAGCCCAAGTGTTCCAAGTCTGTCACCACCTGGCTGAACACCATGCGGTTGCTCTCCTCGAACTCCTTACAGTCGACCTCGATCTGGTCCAGCTGAAGCCACGCGTCGTACATCATGTTGTTCAAATAGGCGCGGGCTTTCGCTAATGACACCTCGCTGAACTGGCCGCCCGCCTTCGCGTGCTCATCGCTTGCCATGTGTAGCAAGGACGTCACATCCTTGGGCAGCTTGCCCTCCAGCAGTGGCAGCGCATCCCTGAGCTTCATCTTCTTGTGCAACGTCTTCGCAATGTGCCGGGTGGTGGTGTCCTCCCCGGGGTCTCCAAAGGGTCCCGCTGAGGCATCTGGAGGCTGCCAGTGTTCCCCAGATGCCTCCGAAGGCCCCCAAGGGCAAAACAAGGCCCATGACTGCCGGAAACCTCGATCACCAGAACCCGATCCTCGGAGGGCGGGGAGAGAGGTGGTGGATCGGGGTGGCCGGAATCGACGTCGAACCAGATCGATTCAATCGAGATGGCTCATATGGAAATTGGAGGGGAAGAAAAACGATGGCCACGACCAAGAAGGAACACAGAAAAACGTCGTTGTCGACCTTAGTCATCGTCCATCTTGTTCATCGCCGACTTGCGGATCATCCTCGTGAACCGGCGACGGGCGGTATGGCTCATGACCAAGATCGGCGTCAACAAGATGGTCATGGTCATCATGCCTCTTCCCTGGAACGGTGAAAACCAACCACTACCGATACCGTTACTCTCGGGACCTATCCTGGGGTGCGTTCTGGCTAGAATTTCGAGGAGAATCCAGCCATGGTGACGAAGGATCTTCAGGACGAGCAGCGGTATCGGTACCTTTCCCTCCTGGCGAGCGGTGTCTTTTCTCGCCAGCATGCCCTGCACCATGTAGCCCACCCTCGCGCGCAGGGTGGCCGCCGTCACGGCTCGCTCCGACTCGCTGGCCTCGCTGGATCGCAGGAGGGCAGCGCGCCCCGGGGCACAGAGGCCGAGGGCAAGGGCGAGTCCCAACGTGTGCACCATCGCTGCCGTGCGCATTCGTTGTAGAACGACGACAGCCAGAACGGACGGACACCTGCGAGGGCCGGGCCGAACCTCGGCACCAGATCGGTGCACACGCATCCCTGGCCCAGCCAGGAAGCGTGCACGCCGATCGCGGGCCCGGGTGAGCCTGGCATGGGCCGCTGCCGGTGTATGGTTGTCGCTGTCGTCGTCCGATGGCCGGTTTGGTCTGCTTCGTTGGTCTGAACTGGGGCAAGTTCTCGTCCAGCGCCGCGGTCGCACCGGGGCGCTCTGCTTGAGCCACCGACGCGCAAGAAGGAGGCGCCATCGGAAGCGCGAGACGCAGGCCAGATCAGCGAGGGCGAGGGAGGTGAGGAAGCTGCGTTTGCTGGGGACGGGTTATGACCCTCCGCGGGGTTCCTGCCCCCACCCCCCAATTGCGCAGAAGCAGAGGGGACGCACGAACGCCCAGATGGAAAAGACACGGCTACCTGAGAGAAAAGTGACCGAACAAGAACGGGAGGCGCCGCTGCTGTCCAATCTGCTTGCAAAAACGGAGAGAGGACCACAACGAGGCGGAGGAGGAGGACAGAACAAAGGACGAGGGGAGCGCGACGAGGGAGAGGACTACGTACGAGGAGGAAGACAAGCACAAGGACGAGGAAGAGGGCGAGGAGAACGAGCACGATAAGGAGGAGGAGGAGGAGGAGGAGGAGGAGGACACGATCAACGAGGACGGCTAGACGGACGGCAGCGCGAAGACGAGGAGGACAGCGTGGATGAGGAGGGGCAGAGCGGGGAGAACGAAGAGCACGACGGGACCACAAAGAGGTAGCGCAAAGGGGGTGTTGCCTTCTGAGAAAGCGGAAGGGCCTCTGGGAAAGCAGTGGGGGGCCTTCTGAGAAGGCCCCGGAGGCCTCTACGAAAAACTTACGGATCGTATCAGAAGCCGGGGGGGGGCATCCTCCTCCTTCTCTTCCTCCTCCTCCTTCTCCTCCTCCTCCTCCTCCTCCTCCTCCTTCTCAGAAGCCCCCCTGCCTAAGAGCCCCACCGCCATCTCAGAAGCCCGCCCCCCCCACGCCAGCCCGCTGAGGGCACCAACCATCACGTCGGCGCGACGCGAGCCTGCCACGTGCGCGCCGCAATCGTCTACGCCGGCGACTGCATCGACGCGACCCGGGCCGGCGCGCTGGAGACGCCCAGCTCGGGGGTCGCTGAAGGTGCCCCATGGCCCAAGGTGCCCCCAGCTTTTCGCTCCACTGTGGAGCCCCTGGGGCCCCCTGGGCCTCGCAAGGGGCTCTCTGGAAGCCCCGGGGGGGGCGTCCTCGGAAATTCAGGGGGCACCATGGGCCAGGGGCACTTCTAGCAGCACCCGAGATGCAGGCGGAGGCGCGCTCGTCGAAGACCCACGCGCCGCCTGTGGAGAGCCGAGGGCCCACAGAGACAGAGACCCCCCGGCCGCGGGCGCCGGGCGCTGCCCAGAGGGACCCAGGGGCTCCAGCGTTGAGCGATCATCCAGCGTTGAGCGTTGCTGAGGAGCACGGATGTCCCCAAGCCCCGCGTTGCATCATCATCCTCGGTCCTCCTTCCTCCTTCTTCCTTCCTGCTCCCTCCTTCCGCCTTGCCTCACTCAGGCAAGAGGGGGAGCGGGGGCGACAACGAGGGCGCGACGTGCGTGGAGAGCCCCGAGGGGGGGAGCTCGGCGGACGGCGAGAGGAGAGGGGAGGGATGGGAGGAGGAGGGGGAACGAGGAGCTGGGCGGCGAGAGGAAGAGGCGCACAGGAGACGAGCCTAGAGCGGGCCCGTCGCGCTGGGCGTGGTGCAGCGGGGCGGGCCGCGGCGCGCGGCTCAGGCCAACTCGTCGAAGATGCTGCCGAACATGCCGGGGTTCATGATGTCCGGGGGCTGCTAAAAGGGTGCCCCATGGCCCAGGGTGCCCCCAGCTTCTCGCTCCACTTGGGAGCCCCTGGGGCCCTCTGGGCAGCGTGATGGGGTTCTCCGGAGGCCGCGGGGGCCTCCTCGGAGATCCTGGGGGCACCTTGGGCCGGGGGCGCTCCCAGCAGCACCCGAGATGTAGGTGGAGGCGAACTCGTTGTAGACCCACGCGCCGCCTCTGGAGAGCCAGGGGCCCACAGAGGCGGAGACCCCCGGGACGTCCGCGGGCGTCGGGCGCTGCTCCAAGGGAAGGGGGGGAGGTGGCGCGGCATGGGCGGGGCGAGGAAGCATGCGCCCTTCGCACCCCCCCGCGGGCCCCAGGGCCCCCCCCCCGAGGTGCACAAAAAGGTGCACCTTTCGTCGTCGCCGTGGCCGTCGTCGTCGTCGCACTCTCGTTGACAACCCAGGCGCCACCTGGACACGACAGGTCGACGCGGGAAGCCAGCGCTTGGTTCCACAAGTCATCGGTGACGTCCATCGCCTCCGAGTAGCAGGTCCCCGCCCAAAAACCCCCTTCCTCGTACGCGAAGGCCAGGATGCCCGCATCCCTCACCTTCTCCATGCAGGCCTGGACGGAGCGGAACGTGCCCATGACTCTCCACGGGCCGCAGCTGTCGGAGGGGTAGCCATTCTCACGGATCTTGAGGTAGCCCTGCTGCTGCTCCGCCTCCAACTTGGCCGACGGCGAGAACGCACGGGGACAGAACTTCACCAACAACTTCTGGGCGTACTCCGGTTCGTTGTTTTCGAGCGCCGTGAGGCCAGGGATGCGCTCGTAGTTGGTCTCCCACGGATCGCTCGCCCAGCCCCTGAGCACTACCAGATTCTGCGTCGTGCTCTCGGCGATCGGGGCCATGAAGATCTGCACGCCCTTGTCCTTCATCGCCGTTGCCAGCATGGTCGTGCGGTACGCGTCGGTCCACTTGCCGTCAGATATCATCATCACGGCACTCTGCGCGTCCTCCCGGCCGTCCGCGAACATGTTGTCGGCCGCCTGGAGGGCCTGCATCACGTTGGTGAAGCCGCGCTGCCACTGCAGCCCTTCGATAGCTGCACTGACGGAATCGATGTCGCTGGTGATCGGGACTACCTCGAGGGCCGCCGCGACGGTGCCGTTGTCGAAGTATTCGCCGTTCCCAAACAAGACCAACCCGATGCGCATGTCCTCCACACCGTAGTACATGCCCTGGTACCTACTCGTGAGGTTCATGGCAAAATCCTTGACGATGTCAAAACCCTCCTGCTTCAGGGAGCCGCTGCCGTCGAGCGCAATGACCAGGTCCTGCCTGGCGATACAGATCTCGTCGCCAACGCAGTCCTGGGTGTTGCACTGCTGCATCTCGAAGCGGTCAGGATGCTTCGGCCCTGGGCACCTGCCGTTCGCGCGAATGGGGATGTCCACCTTGCGAACGCGCTCCTGGATGCCGCCGCCGCAGGCCATCGAGCAGGGCTCCCACTCAGTCCACGGCATGAGCGTGCAATCGCGGTCGCACGAACCGGTGTTGCACGGCTGCTCCTCGAGTGTGGTGTCACACTCCGTCCCACCGTTCTTGGGCCTCACGAGAATGGAACGTGTCTTCCCCTGGACGCCTTCCCCGCACTCCTTGGAGCATCCGGACCAGCCAGACCACTGGGACATGGAGCAGTGGACAGGGCAGTGGAACTGGTTGCACTTCATGCCGACACTCCCGTTCGTGCGCTCGAAATACAGCGGGGGGCACGCCATGCCGAAAGAGTTCGGGGAGATGATGACCTGCCTATGGAAAAGGAGCCCAATCTGTTAGCCAGCACAGGCCCCAAACGGCGATCTGTTGCAATATATGCGGTGCGGTCTTGGAGTTGCAATGGATGTCGTGCAATCTAGGTGGTGCAATCTATGTGGCGCCAAGCAATGCAACACAGTGCAAGGCGAAGCAACAGAAGCAATGCAAACCCATGGAATGCAACGCAAAGTGACACAAAGCCATGCAGCGTAACGCAGGCCCAAGCGGCGACGGAGCGGCGACGGCGACCACATAGCCGCCAGACCGACGGGCAGGCCCAGAAGACGGGCCGCGACGAGGCAGCGACGGAGCGGCGACGGCGACCACATAGCCGCCAGGCCGATGGGCAGTCGCAGTTCCTTTTTGTGCAAGCACAGACAGACCGGTCATCTATATGTACGCATATGTATGTATAAAGATAGGTATCCACGCTTTCTTTTACACACATATGTATGTATGTATTTAATATATATATATATATATGTCAATAAACACACACACATATCTATATATACTTTCCATATGTATGTATAAATATAAGTATCCACGCTTTCATACACACATATGTATATTCTTATATATACGTACATACATACATACATACATACATACATACATACATACATACATACATACGTACATACGTACATACATACATACATACATACATACATACATACATACATACATACATACATATATGTAAATAAGCACACACACACACACACACTTTCCAGGGTCCGCGACGATGTCTTGGATCGGCGCTGGGCCCCCATCCTGGCACGCGGAGGTCGCCAGGGGCGGCGCCAGAGGCACCGCCAGGGGGCCCAGACCAGATTCTCAAGAAATCCGCGCGGGCCCTCGAGAGTCTGTGCTCACGCGTGGCGTTGGAAAGCTAGGAGTGCCGCATCGATCCCCGAACAGCACGCTGTCCTTATGCTGCTCCCATCGCACTCACGAGCCACATTCCAGAAGTAATTCCAAGCACGCCGACGAGTATCGATACAGTGTCGAGCGAGCATCGCCTCCCAGGGCCCGACACGTGAAAATCCCCCGGTTCCGGTTATGAAGAACATCCTGGAGGCCTCGAGCGGCAACTTGAGACCCGATTTACGTCAGATCCACGTGAGATATACGCCGCGTCCGCGTCGGAGCACGTCGGAATTACGTCGGATTTACGTCGGACTGACGCTGGAGCATCGCCGCGCGAACGTCGACACAGAGCTCACGGAGCTGACGTGTGGACTACACAATACAACTATTGCGCGCCGCGCGAGGCCTCCAGGATTTTTCCTCATACGTCTCGGTACTTTCTTGGTGCTCGAAATTGTTCCTGGTGGTCAAGGTCAAGGCTACAGTGGTATGGGACATCCTAACGCTATCACTATGAGGCGACCCCTCTGCGAGGGCCCCTTCTGCGCACGCTAGTTTGTCCCCGTGCCAGGGCATCGTCGGTGCACGCTGTCCTCAAGGTCAGGGACCAGGTGTAGGAAGCAGGCCGACGGCGCCCCGTCGCACGCTATCTTTCCAACGCCAACTGTTCTGCAGTTGCTCTTCCTGGCGGCGAGTGAGGGGGGGAAGTGAGACGGAGAAGGCCTTCTCAGACGGCGGCGGGACTTCTCAGAAGCCC